CCCCCCCCCCCACCCGTGGTCAAGAATGCCCTCGACCATGTCTCCCACATTTCCCGCAACTAATCCCTCACAACCCCTCCCCGCAATAACAACCAAAACAGAATCCCTCTCATCCTCACGTACCCACGTACCAACCCACCAACCTCCAGATCCAACGCATCATCCTCCGACACTTCCACCATCTGCAATCCGACCCCACCACCAAAGATATTTTTCCCTTCCCACCCTTATCTGCTTTCCGGAGGGACCACTCTCTCCGTGACTCCCTTGTCCGCTCCACACTCACCTCCAGTCCCACCACACGCGGCACTTTTCCCTGCACCCGCAGGAAGTGCTACAACTGCCCCCTCACCCCCGTCCCAGGCCCCAAGAAGACTTTCCACGTCAAGCAGATGTTCACCTGCACATCTGCCAATGTGGTATACTGCATCCGCTGTACCCATTGTGGCCTCCTCTACGTCGGGGAAACCAAGCGGAGGCTTGGGGACCGCTTTGCAGAACACCTATGCTTGGTTTGCACTAAACAACTGTACCTCCCAGTCGTGAACCATTTCAACTGCCCCTCCCATTCCTCAGACGACATGTCCATCCTGGGCCTCCTGCAGTGCCACAACGATGCCACCTGAAGGTTGCAGGAACAGCACCTCGTATTTCGCTTGGAAACTCTGCAGCCCAATGGTATCAATGTGGACTTCACAAGCTTCAAAATCTCCCCTCCCCCTACCGCATCCCAAAACCAGTCCAGCTCGTCCCCGCCTCCCTAACCTGTCCTTCCTCCCATCTATCCCCTCCTCCTACCTATTAGCCTCATCCCGCCCCCTGGACTGACCTTTTCCCTCCCTAACTCCCCACCTACACTCACCTTTACTGGCTCCATCCCCACCTCTTTGACCTGTCTGTCTCCTCTCCACCTATCTTCTCCTCTATCCATCTTCTATCTGCCTCCCGTCTCTCCCTATTTATTTCGGAACCCCCTTCCTCTCCCCATTTCTGAAGAAGGGTCTAGGCCCGAAAAGTCAGCTTTCCTGCTCCTCTGCTGCTTGGCCTGCTGTGTTCATCCAGCTCTACACCTTGTTATCATAGAAGAAAATAAGTTGGCTTTTATAATGACTATTTCTTTAGGATGCCTATGTCTATTTGAGAATGTTGTCTAAATTCATTGCAGTTAGCTAAAGATTTATGTTACAGTCTACAGCTGTCAGGATCCACCTACATACCTACAGCTGCTACAAATTTTTGACTGGTACAAGAACAATAATTCAGCATGCCAAGACTTGCATTTAACTCTACTAATTTCTTTGCTAAATTACTGGAAAAAACTCCCAGGGAAACCTGTTTTGGGAGTAATCAGAAACAAAAACAGAAATTGCTGGAGAAACGCAGCAGGTCTGGCAGCATCTGTGGAGAGAAAGCAGAGTCAACATCTTGGGTCTAATAACCCTTCATCAGAACTGAATGTGGCCAAGGAGAAGGTGGTGTATATGCTGAAGATGGGGTGAGGATAAAGGAATAAATGACAGGTGGAGATCAAGTTAATGCTACAGACTTAAAACTTTTTTTAAAATCAGAAGGGGTCTTTGAAGAATCTACGAGTAGTAACAACTGATCCTTTTGATCTTGGTTCGTAAGCAGGTATAATATTATTATTTTGACTTTGCAATTTAGATTAGGGTTTCCACTCTGTAACCCTAGGTGTGGTTTCTGAGCTGTGACATTCAAGCCCTCAAAATTAAGGTACCATTGTCGTGTTTACATTTGTAATTCTTACTTCTGGCTTGTCCTGTTTGTTTCTAGCCTGGAGGTAAAGAACTGCCTGTTAGCTGTTTTGCTTCCTTGGTGGAAAAAGCCCTGAAACAGAACACCCAAGACTGTATCTAACTAACAGATGATTGTGTATTTAAACTTTCAGGGACCCAAGTCTCCATAATATGTGCAGCCCAAACAAAAAGCTTGGCTGTTCCAGTTTAAACCATCTATCCACAAAGACAGGCCGAGTTAGTAGTTATTGAAGCAAGCGAATCCATCAAGTTGTTCATGTATGCATTCCCTCTTATGTCTTCCAACATTTGAAAAGTATTCAAAGTAAAGCTGACAATTCCGTTGTTTCTTTGAAACAGAAGCAATGAGTTTAAAATATTGTGATTATACAACGATCAGATAGTATGGTTTCCATAATACTTGTATATTCACATTGATTCTGTTAGCAGTCATGAGTTAATTGCAATCTCCCAAGTTTAAAAGCTGCTTATCATCATTTTTTCTCTTATTCGTAATTAATTAAAAAATGGCAACTTCAGTAACATGTTATGAAATACTATAATTCCATCTGAAATGTTTGAGCATCCTGGTGCGTAATTTGAACCATCACAAAATCATAGTCACTAGGACTTTATATAGGTCAAAGATTAGGAAGCAAATTGGAGATTTTATGTGCCTCAAATGAACCAGGTTAAAATCTGTCATTGTATTCATATACAAAATATATATTTGCAATTATTATCCAATTCATTGCCTTTAAATAAAAGTCCTGATACAATCTGATCACGTTCTTGGGTTTATTAATGTTAAGCTATTATCCATGCCTTTAGCTGGTGCGGGATAATGCAGATCTTCGTTGTGAGCTTCCAAAACTGGAGAAACGACTCCGAGCCACAGCTGAGAGAGTCAAGGCTTTGGAATCTGCATTAAAGGAAGCCAAAGAAAATGCTGCCAGAGATCGCAAGCGCTACCAGCAGGAAGTGGACCGCATCAAAGAAGCTGTACGAGCAAAGAACATGGCAAAGAGAATGCACTCTGCTCAGATTGGTAAGCTAAGTATGATACAACATTGTAGATTCCAACAGGTTATCTAGTGGCAATTTGTACAAATTGTCTTAATGATTGCAAGAAGGAAAGTTTCAGCAGAGTGCCTTTTCCCCAGCAGTATTCAAGTCCTGTACTATCAAACAACTATAACTTACCAGTCATACCTTTTTATCATTATTTAACTTTTTAAAATAGGTTGAGTTTGTCATAAAGTAGTTAAGCAAATTGTTGCTCATGTAGGGAGCCACCATGGATATGACAGGCAAATGTCACCTTGTGTGCTGTAATCATTCGGATTTGAAATTCAGTTAGTACCTTGGGTTGTTAATTTACATTCATTATCTCAATTTTTTAAATTATTTCTGTCAAGGGATATGGGTATCCCTGCCTAGACCAACAATTATTGCTCTTGAGTAGGTATGGTGAGCTGCTTCCTTGAATTGTGCAGTCCTTGAGATGTAGGGACTCCCACAGAGCTAGTAACAAGGAAGTTCACTATCCAACTCTGAAGGAGCTTTGATGGTGCAGGTCAGAAGGAGTGTGACTTGGAAAGAACTTGCATGTTGGGGTGTTATCATGCACCTAGCCCTTCTAGGTGGTAGACGCTACTAGTTTGGAAGGTGCTATCAAAGGAGTAGATTTAATTGCATTAATAACATAATTCGGGGCAGACTATACTTCCACTGAAATGTCACCTGAGGTAGCTTGAGCAGCATTATGACTCGCCTTGGTGCTTCTGAGCTGGGAAATGGTAAAATTAGTTCGAATTGAATGATTTATTGTCACTTGCATTTTACGGTGAATCATACAGTAATGGGGGAGGTGATGGCCTAGTGGTATTATCGCTGGACTGTTAATCCAGAGACCCAGATAATGTTCTGGGGACCCGGGTTCGAATCCCAACGTGGCAGGTGGTGGTATTTGAATTCAATAAAATATCTGGAATTAGGAATCTAATGACCATGAATCCATTGTCAATTGTCAGAAAAGCCCATCTGGTTCACTAATGTCTGTTAGGGAAGGAAACTGCCATCCTTACCTGGTCTGGCCTACATGTGACTCCAGACCCACAACAATGTGACTCTTAACTGTCCTCTGGGCAATTAGGGATAGGCAATAAATGCTGGCCTAGCCAGCGATGCCTTCATCCCATAAATGAATAAAGAAAAATAATAGTGAAAAGCTTCAACTTTCACAACAATCTGCTGCTATTTTGAATAGCTAAGAATAAAAAGATATAACTGAGAGTCTTTATTCTACCACCTCCGCTATGAGTCTTGAGTCCTGAACTGGCTCATCAAGACATCTGTGCCTACAACCCCTCCAACACCTCACCGCACCCCCCAACATAAGAGTCACCCCTTTTTAGGCGCCATCCCTTTGCCACTAGGCCTACCTTACCACCATCGATGCGGGTCATTCCCTGGCTCTGGGCCTGTTGCGACTGCAAGTAGGTGTCCCTGGCTCCACTGCCACCTTGATGCCAGGAGCCCCTGCTCCAGGCATACCATGCTGCCACCATTGTCAGAATTCCCTAATGTGGACCTACTGCAACCAGGAGTCCCTGGCTGTGCTGCCACCTTGCCAAGAGTCCTGCTGTAGCTGCCCTGTCACCTTGTTGCTGCTGCCATCTTGTAAAGTCCGCTGCTGCCTCCCACTGCTGGAGGAATTTTGCCGCTGCCTCTGACTGCCAGGAGACTGCTGCCATTCTGCGCAAGGCCCCGTTGTCTTTGTGTCCCTGCCGCAAAAGGCTTTAAAGAAAAACAAAGAAAATGAGAAAAAAGAAAGCAAACAGGAACAGAAGAGCCTGGGCTCAAGAGCAAGCATGCAGCCCTGCTACTCTGCTGCCATCTTTCTGATCGCTAAACAGTAATCTAATGTGCATGAGTGTCTGTCCGTTATGGATTTGGATAATCTTAACTGGTATAGATCTTTAGTAAAATACTGGTACACTGATTTACAAAAGTAGGAGAAAATAAGATTTAAAACAAACTAAACTGGTTAACTGTGAAGCTAGCAAAAGTTAGTGTTAATTGATTTTCTGCATCCAAGGTTTATTATACCTTGATTAGACTGCACTTGCATTACTGAGTAAAATTCTGGATGCCATACCATTAAAAAGATATTGAGAAATTTTTTTACAAAAAAATTGACAAGGATTTGACCAGATGGAGAGAAGAAAATGATTTAGAAATGTTAAGCAAGCTAGGGCTTTTTTTTTTTGGGAAACAGAAGACCTGATTGAGCCTCTAAATTTAAAATGGAGGGTTAATGAGAAACAGTTTGCCCTTGACTAATCTAGAACAAGAGCTTATAAATATGTTTGCCACAGAGTTTGTGGTGGTTAACAATGTTGGACTCTGCCATATGGAGTGTTGAAGCAGGTAGCATTGATCTATTTGAAGGAGAGATGGGAGCGAGAAAGGAATAGAAGGATGAGAAATCCGAGTTGGTAGAGGTAATGAGCAGGCTCGTGAAATGCATAGACCAGTTAGGAAGATGGGGAAGAAGCAATAGCAGCTCCATTTGACCCTTTCAGCCTGATCACAATTTCTGCTAGATCATGGCTGATCTTCTAACTTATCATTTCCCTACGTTCTACCCTTGATACCTGTAATATCTGGAAATCTATTGATCTGTGTTTGAATGTACTCAGTGACTCAAACAGGTTTGTCAAATATGATTTTCCTTTCAAAAATTCATGTTGACTGTCCCCAGTCCCCAGAAAGAACTGCAGATGCTGGAAATCGGAAACAAAAAATGGTCTGCCAGCATTTGTGGAGAGAAAACAGTTAATATTTCGGGTCCAGTAACCCTTCCTCAAACATTCCATTTTCTCTCCACAGATGCTGCCAGACCTGAGTTTTTCCAGCAATTTGATTTGTTTTATTTAAGTGCTCGGCTGTCATGTGCTTTTATTATCGATTTTAGCACTTTCCTTGTGATGGATGTCAGGGTACCAGGCCTGTATTTCTCAGTTTCTCCCACCCGCTCAAATGATTGGGCTATTTGCTATCTTCCAATCTGTAGAACTTGCATTATGTAAAAATCTCCAACTAACATTTGTTGACTTGTAACCATTTCTTAGCTCTACCCAAACTGATTATGCATCTTAACCTTCTGGTATAAGGTGCTGTTTCACCAATGTGCTGATCCTATCCTTTATTATTAGCAGTACCCACATCCTTTCTTTCTTTTTCATCCTTCCTAAATGTTGAATACTCTTGAACATTCAGATCCAAACCTTGGTCACCTGCAGCCACGTCTCCATAATGGCAATTAGATCAGACCTGTTTACTTCCATTTGTACTGAGTCCGTCCACATTGTTTCAAATTCTTTTATGTATTTGGATAGAATTCCTTTGATCTATTTTCACACCCTCTAGGCTTACCTGCTGGTGTTGTTTTACTCTTAATTTAGCAATTATGATCTGTTTCTTTTGTAGGTTCTGTAAATCTAATACAACTCAAAGCATAATTCCTAAATTGTACAAACCTTTTTCTTGTTTGGAACAAAAACAGAGTTGCTGGAAAAGCTCAGCAGGTCTGACAGTATCTGTGGAGGAGAAAATAGAGTTAACGTTTTGGGTCCGGTGACCCTTCCTCAGAACCTTTTTCTTGTTTGCATCAGCATAGCAGGGTCTTAAAGTGTAAAGCTATGTCTTTGGATCGAAGTAAGATTTAATGGTTTTACAAATGCATTTTATTTTGTTTGTCTAGCTAAACCAATCCGCCCTGGGCAACCCCCTATGGCTTCCCCAACTCACCCAAGTGCAATTCGTGGGGGAGGTGGATTCTTCCAGAACAGCCAAGCAGTTGCAGTACGTGGAGGTGGAGGCGGTGTAAAATCAGATAAGTTGTACGTATCATGCATGTGAAAAATTGTTCTCGGAATAATTTGATAAAGCAAATACTTTTTGACTAAACCTGACCTATTTTCTATGCTTTTGTTGTGGGACAAGTGATCTCAAGCTCTGGCACTCTAATAATTTGTACAAACTATTTTGACAATTTCAAGATATTTCAAATCTGCAGAATTCTGCTGGTGCTCTTATTGTCATACTTTTTCCCGTTGAACACTGTGAAAGTGTTATCTGAATTGAATTTTTGAATTAGGTTTATTGTCACATATAAAAGTCACCACTCATGGCGCCATCCTATGTACAGGGTACCTAGGTACAGATACTTAAGTATTTGATATAAAAAAACTAGCATAAAAATAAAAAGGAAAAATAAAAAATGTACACAATTTACAGTCCTTCCATGCCAGTCCAAGCCAGCACCTAGCCTCTAGACCACACCCAGCTTTGAAACTTGAGGCCTTGCCTACCCGCGAAGAGGACTCATGTCCTCATGATGGCCTCCAGTCCCTAATCTCTCCTCCTGGTCACACCAGGGACTCTCTTCTCTGCAACGGCCTCCAGACCACGCGCCAATCTCGCCTCCATTCCCAACCAATTCTACCTGCGTAAATTTAAAATTTTTAAAAAATGCAATAAAAATATAAAAATGGTAAGCGCAGTTCAGCTCTGGCACTGGAGCCTTACTCTGCCATCAGATGGAAGTGGAGGGAGTGGATCTTTATGTATATCATTTTATTATCGATTAGAATAGTGGATACATCATATTCTCTCATAATGAAGAGAAACACCCCTGTTATGTGGGAAATACTAAATCTCTATGTTGGTCTTGTTCATGGAGTTTATCGACATTCTGGAAACTGAATGAAGACTAGAATTAGATAAACAATATAAATTTCTTTAATGTTCATGTTGTAAGGTTGAAAGTTTAATTTGGGCATTTACTGTGTCCATTCTGTATTGTGAGGCAATATGTCACGAATTTTCTGTAGCCAGAATGTTACAGATAATTGATATTGTGGATAATTGAGGTGTGAAACATCAAAAATAGGAGTAGTAGTAGGCCATTTGGTCCTTCGAGCCTGGTCCACCATTTAAGATGATCATCCAACTCTGTATTCTGTTCTCACTTTCTCCCCTTTTGATCCTTTAGCACTAAGAACTGTATCTGACTCTTTTGTAAATATTCAATGTATTGACCTCAGCTGCTTTAGGATGTCATGTAGAGGTTGTACAGGACGTTGGTAAGGTCTCTTCTGGAGTGCAGTTCTGGTTGCTCTGTTACAGGAAGGATATTATTAAACTGGAGAGGGTTCTGAAAAGATTTACTAGGATGTTGCCAGGAATAGAGGCTTTGACTTGGATAGGTTGGAGCATAGAAGGTTGAGGGGTGACCTTTGTAGAGGTTTTTTAAATCATGAGGGTCATACATAAAGTGAATAGCAAAGGACTTTTCCTTAGTGTGACGCAGTTCAAAACTAGAGGGCCTATCTTTAAGTTGAGAGGAGAAAGATTTGCAAACGACATGAGGGGCAACTTTTTCCACACAAATGGTGGTTCGTGTGTGGAATGAACTGCCCGAGGAAGTGGTGGATGAGGTACAATATTTAAAAGACATTTGGATAAGTATGTGAATAGGAAAGGTTTAGAGGGATAGGGGCCAAATCCAAGCAGGTGGGACGAGTTTAGTTTGGGAACATGGTCGCGTGGACTAGTTGGACCAACGGGTCTGTTTCCATGCTGTATGACTCTGGTTTCTGTAGCAGAGGCTCTTGACTTTCTGGGTAAAGAAAATTCTCCTCATCGCAGTCCTAAATGGTAAACCTGGTACCTTTGGACTGACCTTGGTTCTGGACTCCCTTGTCACAAGGAGCACCCTGTGCTCACCCTGTCTAGTCCTGTTAGAATTGATAGATTTCTGAGAGATTCCCCCTTCATTCTTGGAATGGAAGTTTTAATAACTAATTCTTTTGACTGAAATGCAATATCTGGACCATGTTGATGATGATTGGAAGGATCAGTTGAGCTTGATCAAGTTATGTGGTCTAATTGCATAGAGTATACAGTACAAAAACAAGGTCATGGTGAGAAAGTAGATGTGGAGCTAAACACTGATTTCTCAAGGACCCAGCAGAAAGAGCTGAATGAGTGTCTCCTGAGGTGTAAGTTTCTGAGATTGTAATGTGACAGTTTTGTTGAATAACACTTCCTCTCATATTAGCTGATTGTACAATAAATTTACTAGGATGTATTTGTTTCTATTTTAGAAATGTTCATACAGTCTAATTTCACCTTCGCCTGACGTGACTACCTTCATCTGGGAATAGTTTAGCCTACAAAAATGCTTACTGATCCACTGATTGGAGCGGGGCATGAACCTTACCTCAGCATCTGATCTGGCTGTGACATTTTATTTGGTGAAATCAATCTAGTTTGAATGTCATTCAAATTAAAATTGAAACTGATCTCTGTTAGAGTGACACAGCAGGCCAGGCAGCATCAGAGGAGCATGAAAGCTGATGTTTCGGGTTGGGACCCTTCAGAACTGGGGACAGGGGATGGGAGCTCTGGAATATATAGAGAGGAAGCGTGGGGCTCCGGGTGATAGGTGAGTGCAGGTAGGCAGTGGTGGGGATTGGTCAGTGAGGTGGCAAGAGCGATAGGTGGGGGAGAAGATGGACAGTTGTCAGCTCAAGGAGGCGGGGATGAGAGGGAGGGTTGGTCATGGGATGAGGCTGGAGGTGGGGAGATTTTGAAACTGAAACCGGTAAAGTCCATATTGAGACCATTGGGTTGTAGGCTCACAAGGCGGAATATGAGGTGCTGCTCCTCCAGTTTCCGGGAGACGTCGTTGTGACACTGGAGGAGGCCCAGGATGGACATGTCATCCAGGGAGTGGGAGGGGGAGTTGAAATGGTTCATGACTGGAAGGTGTTGTCGTTTGTCGCGAACAGAGTGCAGGCGCTCTACAAAGCTGTCTCTTAGCCTCCGCTTGGTCTCACTGATATAGAGGAGGCCACATCGGGAGCAGCGGATGCAGTAGACTACATTAGCAGATGTGCAGATGAACAGAAGGTTTTTTTGGTTCCTTGGATGGAGGTGAGGGTAGAGGTGTAGGGCAGGGCCCTGCGGTTGCAGGGAAAGTTGGTGGGGAGTGTGGAGCGAACAAGGGAGTTGTGGAGAGAGCAGTTCCTATGGAAGGCAGATAGGGGTGGGGAGGGAAATGTATACTTGGTTGTGGGGTCAGATTGCAGGTGGCGGAAGTGGTAGAGAATGATATGTTGAATCCGGAGGTTAGTGGGTGACTCATGAGGACGGGGATTCTGTCTGTTTTTGTTGCAGGGAGGGAATATGAGGGCAGAGGTGCGGGAATCACAAGAGATGTGGTCGAGAGCATTTTCGACCATTGAAGGGGAGAAGTTGCAGTCCTTGAAATAAGAGGACACCTGGGATGTTCGGGAGTGGAACGCCCCATCTTAGGAGCAGATGTGGTGGAGGCGAAGGAATTGGGAGTAGGGGATCGCATTCTTGCAGGAATGTGGGTGAGAGGAGGATCTCTGACTCCAGCATCAACAGTTCTTACTATCTCTGGTGTTTTTTTTAAAGCTCTTTCATAGGATGTGGGTATTACTGGCATTTGTTGTCCAGCCCTACATGTGTCACTGAAATACTAAGGCCTGCGCTTTAGTTGCTTTCTTGATTCTAGGTTTTACACAAAACTTTGAATCTTTTGAGATCTCCAAGAATGTGGCTAGTTTGGATGAACAAAATGGTGGCGGTTGTAACGATAACATAAAATTTTGAAGTGCAATCCTGTTTTTTTTAATCTGTCTAAAATGTATTGCTTGAGGTATAAAGTGTCACTATATTTCAAGAGGAAGTTTACAATTTAACTTTAACTACAAATCCATCACAGCCAACATGATCAAAGACCCCTCCCACCCCGGATATACTCTTCCACCCTCTTCAATCGGGTAGAAAATACAAAAGTTTGAAAACGTTTATCAAAAGATTCAACAACAGCTTCTTCCCTGCTGTTATCAGACTTATGATCTTTCTCTGCCCCGTCTCAGCTATAACATCATATTCTGCATACTGTTCTATTACCCTGGTGTACTTATGTAAGATATTATTTGTCTGGATAGCGTACAAAACAATACTTTTCACTGTATCTCTACATGTGACAATAATAAGTCATTAAAAATGTTCAAAGAACAGAAGGTATTAAGTATGGCACTTACTGGTAGCAGCTGTCTTTATATGATTGATACACATTATTGTTATGAAATCATAACTGAGGGATGTGGTAACTTCAGGAAGGATGTTGATGGTAATCAGAGGGGAAAGTGGTGTAGTGGAGTGGGTAGTGGTGACCACAGTGACTAGTGATGTGGAACTGGGCCTCTGTTTTAAGATGGTGTAGCCTTGTCTGATTACATCATTGTTTTTTTTTGTAAACTGATGTATTTGCTCTATGGGTAAGTGCTGTTTGCATACAGCTATTTGAGTGCAAACCAGTGTCAGGACAAATTATCGGGCCAACTAGGCAGAAATTGGTGACTGTTCAGTTCAGTTTTTTAAAAAAAATCGAGATCCATTTGGAAGTCTGGAATTTACCAAATAGAGCACTTTTTTTTGTTTTGTAGTGTTGGTGGAGGGATGGCTAATAATGCAGAAATTGGGGACATTGGCTTCATGCCTTCATCTGTTAAAGGTAGGCTACCTTGATGTAAAAATAATATACAAGTTTGTTACTCATGTAAGCTGGAAGTTAAGGCAGTGTTTTAAATGTACTTTCTGCAGAATGTTAGGTATGTTCAGAATGATCTAACAAATAGTCTGTATTTAGAATGTATAGTGAATGTGGTCTTTTATTTTACTATGTATGTAACTGAACACCTGTAATTCTTAAACCATTTTGTTTACATAGCCCAAGGTAAAATAATAAATTGTGAATGATAGTTTGCAATGAAACACAGATGAATGGATATTGCAGTAATTATGACAGTGAAATGGTCAGTCGTTACTTGTCTTAAACAGTAACTTGTTTATATTTGCAGTTTAAAACACCTATTCAGAAGCTGGTCTCTGAAATGCTTGAAAAGAATTGTCTTGTTAAACGCAATATAACTATGTTTCAAATGGCATAAGTTCCTGATTACTTTTGAACCATCATTCCAACCCTGTAAAACAAATTTTATTTGAGCAATGTCAATTTTCTGTATTATGGTAAAAATGCTCAAATGTTTAAAAAAAAGTTTTAACATACCAGGTTTCAACTTGATCCCATGTGCATATCCCAATCATTTATTTACCTCTATTTAACCTTCATTTTTGATAATGTTCATTTTACCACTTGATTTGCAAAATGCACATAGTTCAGTGTGATTGGCAGGCTGCACATGTTTGATGTCATCCTTGTTGCTGAATGCTTGTGATACCATTTGATTTGGCTTCAGGTTTAAGCTAAAATTAGGAAGGGGAATGTCCACGCCATAAAGCTTAACAAATCTTTATCAATAGTTGTTTTTATAGATTCACAAGGCAGCTCTGATGCCTTGCAACTGACCACAAAGTGCAGGCTCTAGTTTAATAGTGCAAATATATTGTGATTTTCTACATGTAGTATAAGTAAACTATATTGTGTAGAATGTTGACTGGCGTTGACTGGCAAAGACTGCCTTGTAACAAATTAACTTATTGCCTTTTAAGTTTACAAGATCATACTAATGTTTGTTTGTCTTTTCATTGTTATGCAAATCTAAATTACTTGACTTTGATCTACATTCCTGCTTTACTAACTGGTATAGATGGGTTTAATCCACTGTTAGTGGAGGTAAAGGTTCTTCATTTGAAGTATTGTTCCTGAAACATTGCATAATTTTCAAGAAGCATTATTTTTAAGTTTTCTTCCATCTTACCTACTGTCCTGGTAATAGAATATTCAGTTCTACAAATTCCATTAACTTAACTGTTGCATTTTTTTCTCACTACTGGATATACATGGATCTTGCAGGTGACCTGAGAGATATAAATGACAATAGGTGAATATATAACCTCCTATTCTCACTTGTGATGGATAATTCCTTCCCCAATACTTTTCCTAATCCTGTAGTTCCCTATTGAACCTTTGTGTATTTTAAATTATTTAAATTAAAATAATCCTTTAGAATTTATCTGTGACCTTTTTTTGTATGGTTTATTACATACCAACATTCAGGTTGGAGGCAGGAGTAGGCCAGTTGGCCCTTAAAGCTGGCCTGCCATTCAGTAAGATCATAGCTGATAACTCCACAGATTCCCACCTAGCCTCAATAACCTTTTTCGTTCCTTGCTTCAAGAATCTGTACACATCTGCCTTAAAAATATTCAAGGACTCTTAAAAGGTTTTGGAAGCAGAGTTCTAAATACTGGCAGCTCCCTAATAAAAGATTATTCTCATCTTTGCTAAATGGATGACCCTTTATTTTGTAAAAGTGAATTCTAGTCCTAGATGTCCTACATCCTTTCCACATGCACCCTATAGCCCAATAAAATTGCATTATAACAAGTAAGTTACAAGTCTTCTTCCAGCCCATATGTACTGAGCTTTTCTAAGTAACCGCTTCCAAGACTGGTCTTTATTATGTTAAGCATAGAGATCACTAGTTATCATCATTCTTGCCGTGCATGATTTCAGCATGTAGAATGCAAAATCACTACTTTAAGTGCCAATTTGGTCCAACTACATACTTTTAAGACAATGCAGGCAGCAACACCTGCAAAGTAACCATTTACATTGCTTTCCAGTAAGAACAAAATTCAATTACCCAACTTAAAAATCTCACACTAGTGGTTTATAGTTCTGCTGGGTAAGCTAGGTAAAGTAATTGGTATTTTCTTTAAAGTACAAACTTTGGACAAAGTTCAATCATCATTTTCAAACTTGTGTTAAGTATTCAAAATATTAGTTTTGTTTATAAGTTTTATTCTTAATAGTATGAACTTTAAGCAGAGTTAAAATGAACTCCAGATCCCTCACCCAGTGCCATGTCAAACAAACTGCAGTTATACTGTGTTGTTTTGCCTTCACTGATTTGTCACCCTTTTTAATAATACATCAAAGAGACTACTGTTTGTCTTCCAAAGTTAGCTTTTAACATAATTTGTGTGTTAGCCGATAATACTGTCACAATATGGTGAGCAAATTCTTTAATTTCCCCTGTATATATAAGGAAGACTACTTTTAACATATTTTTGAAGTTGTGGATACATTCCCAAGATCAATAATGTTTGAATTGAAAGAAAATCTTAGTAAAGTTTTGAACTAAAACTTTACTAGTGACTGAACACATTCATGATAATTTTGCTTTACATTTCATTCCTTGATGGACGTTATCCAGAAGAGAAGTAATTTGACTTGATTGCTTGCTTCATTCACCAAACGCTAGGAAGAGGAGCAGTGTTCAGTGCGATCATGGCTGATACGTTTCCTATCTGCATCCATCTCCCCTTTCATGACATCCCTTTCTCTCCTGGGCTAGCAAAAGTCTGTCTTTCTTTTAAAAGATATTGATTAAATATGTGAAATTTAAATAGTTGAACCACCCTGTGTGATGAAATGTTAATATCTTGTGAACTGCTGGGTTCTAATTTTAAACACCAAAATATTAATGTCGTTGAATTTAAATCTAATGTGCCTACTTTAAAATCGAGATTTCTAGGTGTAGCTCTTCAATTCTTCCTATCTTTTCCTTGTTCCCTTTCTAGACTTTCACTGAGGAGTAAATTTGTTCTAGCTTTGTTTTATTTGTTAGCTAAAATGAAAATGGTGTTTTAAGATTTGCAAAATCATTCAGCTAGCAACATGGATTTGACTAGGTATTTTAATGCTGATTCTTTTTTTCTTTACAGCTGCTAAAGCAACAACATAATCAAAGAGAAGCAGATATCATCCAAACAACTCATCATTCCAAAGCAGTGAACTCTCCAACTAGACTTTTCACAAGATTATTTTTGAAAAATATAAAAAAAAACCTGGCCTGTACAGCTCCACCCTTGGCAGAACCTCCTTACTGATCTTCTTGCAAAACAAGAGTGCAATGTAGGCGCCTTGCAAATAACTACATTTAATTTAATGTGTGGCTTCATTGCACAGTACATTGTCATTCATGTCTTAAATTTAGTCTGCACTGTGCCAAGTTGAATGTACGTTGTTGCAGGAAATCTTTAGCAGAAGCATTGAAGCCTAATTTGTGTACATTTCATTGTTTGTTTTAGGACTTGTGAAACAATGTCGCCAAGTAGATTTGATAAGCTTGTTTTACAGTGAAAAATTGATTTGGAGGAACGCAACTATCACCCTTGTGTAAATTAAAATAGTACTTGAAGTTTTTTTTTCCTTGAAATGGATTTTTGAGATGAAGAGGAGTAGAACAATTTGTATACTGAAGGTACATTCATGACAGTATATGGTTAGAACAGAGTTAGGATAGTACAGAATAATAAGCTGCTAACAGTAAAATACAGGAATGTCTAATGAGACTGTCTAACAAATATATTGTGGCATTGTCTAAGGTTATGGGAGAACGCTACAACACATTAGCTGAGCATAAATATGAGGGTAAATTAAAAGGCATTATGTTTTGATATGGAGCACACAATGTATTCTGTCCAGATTCTTGCCATTGCTTTTTGTGATAAACTGAAGATCAGTATTTCACCCTTGGGCTCATTATACAGCAAGAGAGCATTATTTAAAAGTATTTGAGTTAAAACATTGCACTTTTACTGTTTCTATAATAGATTTCAGGTGAAGTGCAAATACTCAATATTTTAAAAATATTAAATTGATTAATCCGTTAATATCTGGCCATTGCTTGAACATTTTGGCCTAATTTCTAATATGTTTTTAATACATAGAACATACTATTAATCACCCTATTCAGTGATAACTCCAATGCAAAATGACGCAGTAAAAATAAACACAAATCAAAAGTAAGTGAGATTTGTGAAGTACAGTCTTACTATAATTGGCCTTTGCTAGGAAAACAAAACTGATGTTGAGTCTAACATTTTAAAACCAAAATAAAATCCCTAGGTGGTGTAAAACTGGTTCAATCCTGGTACTCGTTCAGAAACCCTATTCATAGCATAAAAGGTTATTAACATGAATGGAGAAAGATGAGAACAGACTAAATGATGGATAAGGTCACATAGCTGGCTAAGATTCTTTCGTGGGATAAAATGAGTAAGCAATATGTAATGATGAACAAAGCTTCAATGAAGTGTCTCCACGGAGCTAACAGTCTAAATTTAGACCTGACATAAACATTATTGAGGCATTTTTTAAGTGGTGCATCCCTTAAAATAACTTATCTTTACATACAACTTACAGTTTCAAAAAAAGACATGTCTGCTTGTCGATTCAGTTAATTACTTGTGGAATATTATTACATGTGACTATAGGCAGCAAGGTGTTCTGTTCAGTATATCATTAACTTGATGGATCAAGCCTTTTGACAAGGTATTGGCTAAGAGTATTGAATATTTGAGTAGGTGAATTCATTCATTCATGTGCTAAAGAAAACACCCTTTACAAGTAAGTAACTAAATTGGCAGGTGGTATAAATATTTGTGGTCTGAATAAGTGACTAATTGATGTACCTTATTAAACAGGTGATTATTTTTAGCATTGTGTACTGTATCCTTTTGGCCTCCCAATTTTCTAGGTCTATGTTTTACTCCTCACTGACTGGAGGCTGACCAACAAATTAGCCAATAAAGTAAATCTGAGTTAAACATAGTGCCGAACGTACTTTAAACCACTTTTGAAGGTCAGTTTGAATCCAAAGCCTTTTAGTCGATAATACTTGGATTTGTTGCTCTTGATACTGATCGACCAGTTAGTCTATCAAGACATCTGATCACAAGGCTCCCTAGATGATGCAAAAAAGGCCATACTCCATGTGTTTCTGAAAAATAGAATATTTGGTCCATGTGACTTATTTAAGATGAAATGTAATTGTTTTTGTACATTTTGTTGTCTTGACAATATAACATACCTTCTAATTTTGCATATTTACTTGTTAGATATTCTTTACAGATATTGGGTCTTGTATGTGCCTAACACACACCACTGGCCATTGGGTGCAGTCACTGCACTGTAAACATAACTAGTTTAAGGACCCGTTTTTTGTATTTCAGTTTTTTTTGTGGAATTTCCAATATGTGATGTTAATCAAAGTTGCCATGGCAAATCGTCTGGACAGGACTACACACAAGGTGTTGAATACAAATTTATTGTCATTTGTTGAGTAGTGAATGCCTTGTTATCCTGATTGCATTGCAGTGTACTCTTCAAGTGCTTATTGTGAGCTTGTTCCTCAGATCTTGTAGAAATGAATGGTTTTAAAGCATAAATGCAATTGAATAAAAATCTAGTATTTATTCATGGTGATCAACTAAATTATTTGCATAATTTAAACAATGCTAAGGAAATTACTGTAATAGTTCTAAATTTGACATGAGATGACACTAAGGTTTCCGCCTGTGGAACATGGTGCAGAGTAAGTCGGACAGGAGAAGGCACATAATTTTGTTTTTTGTTAAGCCATCATTTAGTTTTGACTGACTGCATGCTGTAAATGTATTTGTGTTTAAATAAACAACTTTTGTCTGGGAATTCAGTGAACATTTGAGTAGAAACATTTTTTATACTTACTTCCAACACACAACTTATTGAGAACAATTTGCACCAATTTATCTAGAGGAAGGTGTGTAGGGGCGTGTTTAGTGCAGTTAATTAAAATTCTGGTTGGAGTTTAACTAAGCTGTTGGCAAATTAAAATGTCAATGCAAACTGACTTTTTGTGACTTGAAAGTTTGTTAAAGCTGACGGGCTGAACAATGATAATTGGAATTTTCTCCTGAAAAGTGAGAGGAGATGCGTTAACAAGGCAAGGGAGTGTGTGTTGAGTGGTAGGACCCTATGAAGTACAGGGGGACCTTTAGTGTGCCTGCCCATACATCCTTGAAAGCAGAACAGACAATAAGTGGTTAAGAAGGCATATGGCATATTTGCCTTTATTTATCAAGGCATTGAATGCAAAAGCAAGTAGATTATGAAGGAGGTGTAGATAATGACCGTTATGAGTCTGGATAGCATCCACTGCTGGAGCACTGTGAAGTTCTGGTCGCTGCACTATAGGAAGAATGTGATCGCACTGGAGAGAGTACAGATGAAATGCACCAGGATGCTCCCTGGGCTGGAATGATTTAGTTATGAAGTGTGTCCAGATGGGCCAGAGTTGTTTTACTTAGAGCAGAGTCGTCTGAGGGGGACCTGATTGAGGTGTACAAAGGTATGAGGAGTATGTATAGGGTAGATGGGGAGAACATCTTTCCCCTTAGAGGGACCAATAACTAGGGGACATAGTGTTAATGGAAGGAACAGGAGGTCGAAGGGATTTGCCTTCCCAAATACATGTAAATCCTGTCCCTCAGAATCCCCTTCAACAACTTATAGTTCCCTGGCTTTTCCCTACTACCCTTCATAAATAATGGCACCACATTAGCCACTCTCCAGTCTTCTGGCACCTCACCTGTGGCTACCAATGATACAAATATCTCAGCACGGGTCCCAGCAATCACTTCCCTAACTTCCCACAAAGTTCTTGGATACACCTGATCAGGTCCAGGGGATTTATCCACTTGCGTGCATGCATTTTAAGACATCCAGCACCACCACCTCTAATATGGACATTTTCTTAAGATAAGACTAATTATTTCTCCAAGTTTTCTAGTTTCCACAGTAAATACTGACGTGAAATACTCTCACAGTATCTCACCCATCTCCTGCAGTTCCAAGCGTAGATGGCCTTGTTGATCTTTAAGGGGCTGTATTGTCTCCCTAATTACTCTTTTATCCTTAATTTATTTGTAGAATCCCTTTAGATTCTCCTTAACCCTATTTGCCAAAGCTAACTCAGTTCCCCTTTTTGCTCTCCTGATTTCTCTAGAGTATACTTCTCCTGCACTTATACAGCTCCAAAGATTCACTTGACCCCACCTGCCTGTACTTGTCATATGCTTTCTTTTTCTTGACCAGGGCCTCAGTTTCTCCAGTCATCCAGCATTCTGTACACCCACCAGCCTTGCCCTTCACACTAACAGGAACATAGTGATTCCAGACTTTCATTATCTTATTTTTCAAGGCCTCCCCCTTTCCAACTGTCCCTTTACCTGCTAGTGGCCTCTCCCGATCAACTTTTGAAAGTTTTTGCTGCAATACCGTCAAAATTGGCCTTATCCCAATTTTGAATGTTTGTAATGGAATTTCTTCTGAGAGTAGTTAACAACAGAGGTTGGGTCATTAAGTGTATTCGATACTGAGATTTTTAATTAATAGAAGAACCAAGTGTTATGGGGAGAATGCAAAAAAGTGGAGATGAAGATTATCAGATAAGCATTGAATGGCGCAGCAGACTCAATAGTTGAGTTACTTACTTCTGCTCCTGCATCTTATGATCTTATAATCTTATGACATTACCATCGAGGAACGTAGCTCTAATTTTACTTTTATGACTCACCTCCAGGACAGGTGAGACTTGAACACAGGCCCTCAGCCCAAGATAGGGACACTACCATTGTGCCACAAGACCCACAACGATTTTTTTCTAACCACCTGTTATAATCATTGAGATTAAGCACCTTAATTAGAATCCTGATGGTCTCAAGGAAATACAAACCTAGTTTATGCTGCCCACCTTTTATAATTTAACTCTTAGTTCATGTGTTATTCAGGTTTATATGTTCTGCCCATGCCACTCAAGGCAATATGCCCTTTCTGAGATTCAGTGCCCAGACCTGAATACAATATTCAAGGTGTTGAACAGCCAATAAAATCCCAAAATCTCTTTTTCTACAGTAGAGTACTTCGTCTGATATTTGTTTAGTTTCTTAGAAATATGCCCTATGGCTTCTCTGTTCCCAAACCATCATTCTATAACCAGACTGCGCCCCTCCCCCACTTCACTAGCATCAGTCGTCATTTTGAAAGGTCTGGAAAAAAAAACAGGACCGGCCAATAATGGTTCACTGAAAATCTGGAGGCAATCTTAATCAAAGGCTGCCTGGAATTCTGCTAACCATACCACATTTGCTTGTTTCCTTAACAAATTTGTCAAGGGTGCAGCAGTTGTGAAATTACACACCAACCTTTCCTACAGTCCACGCAGTCTTAAAAAATTATAATTTCTCATTTACAAAAAACAATACAGCACAGGAATGGGCCCGTCGCTGTGACTAGTTTTGGGAACAGGGAATTCTACCGAAGCTTTCACTTTCACTATTGACACCATCTATCCTTGTCTTACGATATGTCCTACTGTTTTCGTGTTGACTAATCAAGTGTAAGAGGTTTGTTTTGAGAATTGTCTATCTGTCTTTCCACCTCACTCTTATTGTCATCCTTCATGACTCTTAGCTGCTAACACATTTGCTCCCCCTTGTCTTCTCTGCAATGATACTGTTTCAACATGTTTATGTGACATAACTGATTTTTCTTCCCACAATCAGGAGTATCTATTAGATAAGTTACGTTACTAACCTTCCTAAACATCTGCAGGGACTACTGAATTTCTCTCCGTGATTCACCTTGCAAAGGCAACAATACCAGTATTTCATCTCTCACTTGAAACACTGGTTGTAGAATGTTTGCTTGTAAATACTTTTGTGCTACCCCAGGTGCTCTGGTAAAGCTTTCTCGAAACATGGACATGTAATCTAACACTGAGCATTAATCTTTTTGTTTCAAGAATTTCTCCCTAATCAATTTTAATGGACCTTTTTTCTTCCTTATGGCCATCGATCAATTCAAGTGAGCTAAATCCAGTATTTAGACAATGATAGCAAATAGTAAGAAGCCTAATGCTTTGTCCCAATCTTGTGTATATTGGTGATAGCATGTCTTAGTTATGATTCTGAAAGTCTGATGATTTCTCTCTAAAGCTCTGTGTTTGCAGATAATACATTGTTGTCTGTAATTGTTTCGCATCCAAACTGCTGCTGTTGTCCTGGAAAACTTCAGAGATAAACATAAGAACTAGGAGCAGGAGTAGGCCGTCTGGCCCTTCGAGCCTGCTCTGCCATTCAATAAGATCATGGCTGATCTTTTCGTGGACTCAGATCCACTTACCCGCGTTTTCACCGTAACCCTTAATTCCTTTATTGTTCAAAAAAAAATCTACCTTTTCTTTAAAAACGTTTACTGAAGTAGCATCAACTACTTCACTGGGCAAGGAATTCCATAGATTAACAACCCTCTGGGTGAAGAAATTCCTTCTCAATTCAGTCCTAAATCTGCTCCCTCTAATCTTGAGGCTATGCCCTCATGTCCTAGCTTCACCTGCCAGTGGAAACATCCTCTCTACTTCTATCTTATCTATTCCCTTCATAATGTTATATGTTTCTATAAGATCCCCCCTCAATCTTCTGAATTCCAATGAATATAATCCCAATCTACTCCATCTCTCCTCATAAACCAACCCCCTCAACTCCGGAATCAACCTAGTGAACCTCCTTTGCACCCCGTCCAGTGCCAATACATCCATAAAGTTCCAAACCCGATCAGGATTCTATCAAGTGGTGGTCCATTATACACAAATCTGAGTTAACTTTTCCATTACTATTTTAGCTTCATGGCCCTTGAAGGAATAGCTTCTGAAAATCAGGTTGTCATATTTGTAATTGTAAGGATGTATTTTATGTCCTGGTTTCATTTTTGGGAGTAGTCCTACACAAGCCACTAACACAACTGAATGATATTTCAAAAACTGGTATGATATCAAAGGTGCTGATTTAATTGCATGTTGAGGTTTTCCTAGTATATGACATGTATCACATATTTTACAGAACTGCACTAAGTCCTTGAAATTTTGACTATGTAAAATACCTCTTTATTGCTTCCTGTGTTTTCTGTATTCTATGCCCTGCCATAGGAATTGCATGTGCTACTCGCAATTTCATCATCTACTATCTTGATTGTACCACTATTTAATGGCTAGTCATCCATTGTGAGAATGTCTCCACTTCCTCAGCAGGACTCTGTTTTTAATATAAGAGTGCTTTGGATTTTCTTTAGCCTTAGCTTCAGTGTGAGCTCTCTGTGCCAAATTACCTAACCCTATTCTGAGGGAGGGTCACTGGACCTGAAACATTAACTCTGATTTTTTTCTTCACATGCTGCCAGACCTGCTGAGCTTTTCCAGCAACTTCTGTTTTGGTCCTGATTTACAGCATCTGCAGTTATTTTGGTTTTTACTCAACCCTGGATCTGCTTCCTGAGCGTCAATTAATGAAGGCTAGCCAAACACCCCTTTTTGCATTATTCACATTCTCGAATATAGTTTCAGGTACCCTAACATCATCATTACTGTGTATCAGAGATAGTAGGAACTGCAGATGCTGGAAAATCTGAGATAACAAGGTGTAGAGCTGGATGAACACAGCAGGCCAAGCAGCATCACAGGAGCAGG